TGAAGTGTAGCCGGAATCATCATTCTGTCGGTCACCTCAGGCTCTACAAAGAAATCTGGTAAAGGCAAGTTATTAGTCATAAGTTGACATTGCACGTGCGCAGCTGATTGGGGTGGAATTACCCTACGTTTAGCCACTATAACTTGCGCCACCCTAGGTTCAGGTTTACCACTACCTCGTAGAGAGATAGTACTGTTACCAATTGTTAACAACAACTTCCCGAAATCGATGATTGCTTTATTCGGAAGGAGAAAATCCCCGCCCAAGAGCATCTCATCATTGATAGGGGCTACATAAAAGAATTCAGTGTATTCACTAGACCCAAGCCTAAACTTAACGGGTCCCACCTTGTAACCCGGCATTGTAGTCCCCCTTCCAGCTAGAGTAAAAGAGAGTTTAGCTACAACTGGTGGTAAAGGTTTAAGGCTAGAATACATTTAATCTGAGAGTATGGTGTAATCTGCTGCCGTGTCCACAACCACGTTGATAGGTACATTATTTACATGAGCAGTTGCGTGTGTAAAGCATTTGCAGAACTTACCCGACTTACAATTATTATTTCTGTCTCGGAGTTTTTTTAGCTCTTGACCAATGTTAGATACGCTCACAGATTCAATCGCTTGGGGTGCAATTGCCTGCAGGTTACCTGATTTATCAAGGCTAGTCGGCGATTCTACTGGAAAACTATATGTTTTAGTTAATCCCATACATGAAGAATCTGATTGACTCTGAACCCCTGATCTTAAAGTTCCAATTGAAGATGGTTGGCCTGACTTAAGAGGAGGGTCGGGCAGCTGGCCATCGCCCCCAACCTCTATTCGTTTAAAGGCTCCTCCTCCTTACCCCCAACTTGTTTCATTTGCTTTTGATTAAGCAAGGGGCAATCCCTCTTGAAGTGGCCCGGGTCATGGCACTCGTAACAGCCCTCCCCCCCGTGGCCCAAGCACGCTTAAAAGCCTATCAAACTTAGAATTCAGCTGGGACATTTAGAAATCAAACTTAGCGTTCGATTGCGCCAGCTGGGTTTCAAACTTAGCGTTCGCTTGAGCCATGAGGGTTTCAAACTTAGAGTCCAATTGGACTGCCCGAGCTTCCATTGCGGCCAATCGACTACTAGTGTCGTCCCCCGAAGGTTTTTGACTCGAGGGACCAGGCCTCCCTGCCCTCCTAGAGTTGCTTGTGGTTTGGAAGCTAGGATAGCTGGATTTGTCACCCCTATTAGGTCTTCTCCCACTTGCCTAACTCTACGGTAGGAATCTTCATCATCTTCCCCATCCTCTTCAGAAGCCGAAGAGGATGAAGACGAACGGCGAGAAGCAGCGGCAGATCGAACATGGGCCTTAACTACCTCCTTGGACGACCTACCCCTTCTCTTAACATACAACCCACTGAGGCTTACATACTGCTCGCATTCCCTTAACGCCTCAACCAAGGTTGCACATTTCTTATGGAGAACATGCTTCCCCGCCTCAGAGTCCCTGCACCCTAAACAAAATCTTATGGCTGCCTGTCGCCTAATCCAAGATTTTGGAAGGGCACCATAGGCCTTCCTTGTCATAGTGAGGACCCTATCTCCCCGCTCATCTACTGTTTCGTCCTCCCGCTGGGAAGAGGCTTCTAATTTAGCCTGCAAAACTTCCGGAAGGTCATCCTCCTCATATCGCTTATCAAAGGCGCTCATGAGTTTGCGAAAGGAAATGTGTCTATCCATTTCTATCAGATTGACATAAAACTCGGCCGCACTCCCTTCCACACACCAACAGAGTGCGTCCGTTCTTTCATTTCCCGAAAGCTCCTGCTCCTCTGCGAACCTGAGGAACCGCTGTCTAAAAAAGGACCAGTTTTCCTTCCCTTTAAACGTCAAAGTCTTTGGGATATTTTTAGACTTAAATGATGTACTCCTTCGTTTGGGTGGAACCCTCCTTTCAGTATGCCTTATATTTCTCAAAAGTTTGGCATACCCCTGAGAATCATCAGATTCTCGCTCAACATCCTGATCACTATGCTCGTCACTATCACTGGAGTAATCGAGCTCCCGTCGGGTAGATGCGGATGCACCCCTAGATGACTTAGCTGCACGGAATGATGTTCCCCCGAACGGCTATTTCTACTGCCAGAAGGATTACTTTTAGTAGTGGAGGCTTCGAGGTTCTTACTGGAAACGAGATTTGACACTGAGTCAATCATTTTGGAAAAACCCCGACCCTCTAGCACTGGATTGGGAGTAAAGTCAAATTCCTTAATTAACTTAAAACCCCCTCCAATACCCTTAATGTCACTCAAACTCGTCGGGTAGATGTTACCATAACGGGACCTCCACAGGATAATCTTTTCCCCCCGTTTTTTACCAACATTAGGGATAGCGTAAAGATCCGTAACATCACAAAAGTTTATCCTAATTTTACCACCCCGCGACATTATGGGTCAAAGGTCAAATTTGATTAAAATGAAAGTAGTGACACTCTATAAAACAATTCGCACAATGATCGAAAAATTCAAATAGTAAACAACTCTCAAGGTCAAAGTTCAAACAAGCACAACTTAAAAGAAGTAGTAAATAGTAGAATAAATCGCACAATGATCAAAATATTCAAACTAACACAACTATCAACTTTTAAAGTTAAACATGCATACAATTGAAAGTAACAATAATAAAATAGTCGAAAAATTCGTAGCGTTTAGCGAAAAATTCAAACTAAAAAAACTACAACTCTCAAACAGCAAAAACAATATTCAATTAACGAACGTGGTTAGTGTTATTGGGAAATAGGTTTAAGTACGCAGTAAATACAACTACACCTATCCGAATCAACATTCACACAAGCAACAATGCAAACAAAGTTATGTTCACCTGTGGATAAAAACCAGGACGGTTAGAAAGAATATATAAATGAGGAATGCGTATTACACAACTATCGATCCTTACCTTAAGTAAGAAAACAAAGACTGCGCTTCTTTAAAATGGCTGCACCGAAATACCACACCCTCTCCTAAACACTAAAAAGGTTATGCCTAACTAATACTCCTAAACTACAAAATACTTGTGTAGGTACTCGATAGTCCTAGTAAGACTTCCTCAAACCGGCCAAGAGTGTGCGATCTACAACACTTCCCTACACAAACCCTAACTGTCCTATTCTAAATTTCAGTACAATCTCAGTACAAATGATCGTGAGTGACTCCAAACTCACAATCGGCGATATCAGCTCGCAGCGCCAATATTGTGAAAATAGCTATGTATACTTGGTACTTACCGTTTACGGTATTGATTTCCCGCGTAGCTATACACAATGGTGATAACACTGTCACAACTTGTCTGGTCGAGCTCTGGACTTGAAGTGCTCTGACTGACCGATCTCCGGTCTCACAGTTCATTAATTTTCCGTTGACTCTTAGTTTCGTTCTCGTCATCTTACTAACGATCTGAGCTCCATACTGTACTTTTAATGTGTTACAGATTGCAGTGTCACTGTAAGACAGTGGGATGTCTTTGATTGACAGTCTGGTTGTTTGGTTGTTTTACAAATGGATTTTGTGTGTGAAACTCATAGTGCTTGCCTTCAAGGTCAACCCCAGAAGATATCAGTTTAAAGCGACTTTCAATGTGGTCGATATAAATACGCCAAAGGTTTCGGATTTTCTGCAGACCTAGTATGTAACCAGGGTCTATTACCTTACTTAGTTCAAGAAATATATTTTCTGCCTTCCATGATGTTTGATCCTCCGACCTTTCACATAAAAAAATAAGCTTAGTACTTTGTGCAACACACACGTTGGGCTTCCCCTGGACATGTCCAGGGTAGTCTGTTGTTGTTACAGCTCCAGCCATGTAGCTAACGTACGATACGTTACAGGTATGTAATCACTGTAACTGGTATAGCCTAGTTGAAATAACTCAAAAATATATAGGTTAAAAATTACCCGATTTCGTTATTTTTGGCCGCACACTAGGTCAGAAGGTATCATGTAATGCAATATAACTCGAAGAAAGATGATCAGGAATGGAATACATTGAAAATAAGACGTTTTATTAAGAGCACGCATACGGATTTCGCCTTGGTGAAACTGTACGCCCTCTATCTATCGCTCGACCATACTTGGTTATAACCACGCTCAATGTATCTATCTACCGGTATACGATATTTCGAGCCTTAGACCGAAGAAGTGTTCTAAAAATGGATATCAGTTGGAAGTATTATATTGTTTCGGTTTTATATCTCTCTTTTAGTTACGGTAAATATTTCGTTTATAATTTTTTCCTTTAGGCCTTATTTCTGTTGGTTTTCTCTGAAGATGCTGTACTTTTGCTGTACGTTTTATTACAACATGGAGCTTTTATTTGTAGCCTCCATGGTTACAACGATCAACTTTAAGAGTCCGATTTATGTAGCTATAATACATGGTATTTTTTACATTTTAAGACTTGATGGTATCACTCTGTTTCGTTATGAATTGATTAATTAAAAATAACTTTATGACTTGCGAATATTCATGGGTGTTAATTAACCGAGTAATGGGCCTTTCTGTAATTATACATATATTAGGGCCTTGGCCAGTGAAAACAACTCCTTCTGTGAATTCAATATTAAGAATGGGCCTTAGGTTTAGATAATTCTTCGCTGTAATATTTATAGCAAAAAAATTTAGAAGAGGACGGCCGGAAAACATACCAAAATGATTGCTTGTGGAAAGGGGAGGAAATAGCAGGTGTTCGAATAGTTCTAAAGCAAAGGGGATGCACATAAAGGAAGAGCGGAAGGTACTCAGTGGGATTTAAGGCAAAATTGATGTTTGTGAAGGAAAAATTGGCTAAAAATGGTGTTTTATAAGAGGGAGACCCTAGTAGGCCTACATGATCACAATTCTGAGTTTTAAAAATGCAAACAAATCATAGAAACTTCGGTGATATTTTAGGATTATTATGCACTCTACAACGAGTGTAAGCATCAGCATGACTTAACAAACACACAGTAGTCTAATAATACAATTGAAAGCAGAAAATGGACAAAGAAGACGAGCATCTAAGCTTAGTAATAGACTACCTTCTTTGGAGATTACGAACAAAGCCTATTGATCCTTTACAAAGCTAGACTTCTCATCCTTTGGAGTGTAGACCTAATTCCCTTTTGACCGTAATCTATTAACATAACTCTAGAGATGATTGTATTTTGGGAATTGTTTTTTTTTTTTCAATTAATATTTTGTTTTGAGGAATAACTATCCAAAACCATGTTGGTTTAAGATATATTATTGTAGAGATATTTACATAACGAAGAGGCGGATTGAAGGGCCTGCCCCTATCCACTCCCCCCCCCCCCCAAAAAAAATTGAAATGAAAAGTACCGATCTCGCGCGAATAAGCTCTCCGTTCGAATAAGTGCCCAATTCTAATTTGAATAAACGCCCCGAATCAATCCTGGGACTTTGGATGTTGGCATGATTTGAGGTGTGGAGTGGAAACACATTCTCCTGTAGTCAATATCAAAATGAGGATATTTATCTTGGACAAATGAGAGCTCCCTGGACAGACAGTATATTTCCAACTTTCATCTTCTTACATTTGTCTATAGCCTATAGTCCTACTCCTTTTTCGGACAATTTGCACCTTTAACACATTCTCATCTAAGTTTTCAAGAAAACCTGCAATGATCATGCCGTCCTGCTATTTTCAATCGGCCGATGGCCAACAAGCTAACCACCACCACTGATTTCATCTCGGGACATCAAAGGTTATAACTCTGGCATCGACATTCTAGGCGCACGTGCGTCCCTACACGCTGAACGTCACAAAAACTATAGCAACCAGACCATAAACCGTCAGCGTACGTGACGATTTACCGTTGTTTGTTGAAAGACAAAATATTAGATTAATTAGATATTTAAAATATTAAATATCCGTTAGATGGCTGTCTCTTATACACATCTGGGGAGCCGATCAGCCATCATAAACTTTTCTCCACTTACATGCGGTTGACAATCTATAAATAATAGTGCTGTGTTGTGAAAATGTTACCTTCAAGATTATTACCTGCGTTTTTACCCCTTCTTCTACAAATTAATTCCGGAAACGACCACGAGCTTAATGAAAGTACTGCCTTGCTGTTGTGTATGCTTTTGGAGTATATACTCATTAATTTGAAAACGCAAGAGAGGATTCGACAACAACGCCGGCTCAGATACCTTCGGTATGCGGAGGAACAACGCGAACTAGGGCAGATTATGTTCGTCTTACATACAAGTCAGGATGCAACCACCGCTAGAAGGCGGCTCTGGCGAAAAAAGAAGAGTGTCCATTGGTGGGAAACCATTGTGCCTTTGTATTCTGATAAAGACTTTATCGAAAATTTCAGGTACAATAATTTGAACAATTATCAATATGCTGTTGTATGTTCAATTGTTATTTTTGTGAGGCTTCATCCCAAGATTATCAATCGAATTCTACTGACAGAACTGTCAACTCTAACATTCAAAAACTTAAGTTAGAAGCCGTAGGCCTAGGCCTATCTAGCGATACCGGTCGATCGTTTATTATAGAATTTTAAAGGTAGAGCTAATAAATGCTTAAATTAATCGTAGATCCAATTTGAAAGGTGGTTATTATTATTATTATTATTTTTTTGTTATTTGCCCATGCTAAACTAGGTTTGCATTTTTAGGCCTAGTAGAACATGCAAGCACTTTTTTAACAGTATAGAGGTTGATTGATCTGTGGTGCCTTGGATTTTGGTCACTGTGTCCCGAGAGATATTCACAGCGCAATTATTATTAAACCACATTGAATTTCATCAACTATTTATATTTTATTATTCAGGTTAAACAAAGAAACGTTCAAATATGTTGTCGACGAGCTGCGACCATTCATCGAGAAGTCCGAGAACAACAACGGTCCAACATTTTCTACCGAATGGAGGGTTGCTATGACGCTGTACAGGCTATCATCGGGGATTCCATTCAATAGAACTGCTAATCAGTTTGGCTCTGCCAAATCGACAGCTTGCACTATATACCACGAAGTTTGTGAAGCTATTGAAGCTGTATTAATGCCAAAATTCATTACTTTTCCAACTGGACAAGAACTTAAGGTAAATGAGCAAACATACTGTTTACTATCTAATAAACCGGTACAACAAAACGAACTGGTTGATATAAACTACAGTACAGTGATATTAAAAAATAAAAGCTTGCACATGCCTGTGATTTTAGCAGTTAACATGTTAATAACTGTTCTGTTCTATACAATTTCTTTCAGAAAAACATTGAGAAATTTAAAATGAAGGGTGGCTTCCCTCAAGTTGTTGGTGCGATAGATGGTACCCACATTGCAATTATTGCACCAAGGGATCAGCCTCAAGACTATTACAACAGGAAGGAATATTATAGCATCGTACTCCAAGGTGTTGTTGATGCCAACGGCATGTTCATAGACACATTTTGTGGCATGCCAGGAAGTGTAAACGATGCCAGGGTCTTCCACATTTCTAACTTTGGCGAAGCGATAAAGGATGGAAAGATTTTCAAACCTTATATTGAAGAGACTTTAAATGGAACAAACATACCTCCATTGATATTAGGAGATGGGGCTTACCCATTATTAACCAATTTAATGAGACCATTTCCAAACCGTCCAAACAAGCCAAGGGAACAAACTCGTTTTAATTATAAGTTATCCCAATGTAGGGTTATTGTTGAACACGCTTTTGGGAGGTTGAAGGGCAGATGGCGGATATTACTAAAACGAAATGAGCATGAGACGCATAAGCTGCGCCCAGTTGTACAAGCTTGTTGTACATTGCACAATATATGCACAAGTAATGGCGTTCCATATCGAAATGCATGGACTGATGATGAGGTTAGGAACAGCCTATCTAACCAACCCACCAGAGTAAATCGTATTGTTCAAGGTCCAAGGGCCGAGCAAGTTAGAAATGCCATTATTACAGAATTAATAAAAACCGAGTAAGTTTTTTGCGCCTGGAAACACAGGCTCAAAGTTAGTTTATGACAACATTGTAATATTGCTTTTGTTGGTTTATGCTCGTGTGGGGGTGTGTGTATACATGTAAATACATAAAAAAAAGTTTTTTCTGAATAAATTATTTACTTGCATGAACTGTTTTTATAATTTATTACTTTTGTAAATCTCCGCTCCAACCGACTCCTAAAACCACTTCAAGGGCTTGAAAGTTGAACTACTGCAGAATTATTTTGGCCCAGCCATCAAACTATTACTGTACAGTAATTAATAACTCAATACAAGAATTTACTTTGAAAACATTTTATTACGCAAATACTTTAAAAAAAAACAATAGGTAAATCCATTGAGGTTGAGTTGCATACCAAACTTTCGCTACCATTATCATTTTCTGAAAATATAAGTTAACATATAGTTGTATTGGCACATCTTAAAAATTTACAATACTGTATTGTTGAAAGTTGATTTAACATATTTTAGTTGTGAAATGCAATTGCACATGAAAGCAAGGATTTTTGGCAAAATACTTATTCATAACATCATAACTCGAAACAACAATTTACTTTGAAAACGTTTTATATGCAAATACTTAAAAGAAAACCAAATCCACTGAGGTTGAGATGCTTACTAAAACTATACTGTATTTTACCACATACAACAAGGTTGAGATGCAAACTAAACTAGTACAAAATTTTGCTACCATTATCATTTTCTTACAAATAGTTAACATATAGTTGTTGTGGCATATCTTAAAAATACACAATACTGCTGAAAGTTGACTTTAAATTTAAGATATTTAGGTTGTGAAATGCAATTGCACATGAAAGCAAGGATTGTTGGCAAAATACTTGCAGTAACTATATTTCATAACACACTATACATAATATACACGTTGAAACTACACTTACAAAATGTTACCACAAACATATTTTAAAGAAATAAAATTTCATGCATATAAAAAATCACAAGTTGTTTGTTGAAAGACAAAATATTAGATTAATTAGATATTTAAAATATTAAATATCCGTTAGATGGATTGGAATGTTTTAAAGCTGATGCCACTGCTGTTGGTGTCCGTCGTGTTGGGAAAATTGATAAGACTGTTGACGGCCGAGGTGGTGCTGTTGCGTTACAGACTGGCTAAGAATAGACAAAAATTGCTGTTGGAATTCTTTGTTTTGCTGTCTTTCCTCTCGTCTCTCAACCATTTGTTGGCCGATGACCGACACCACTTTGTCGATCTTGCTCTCCAAATTAGTCTGAGCTTTGCGTAGTTCTGCCTCTTGTCGTTCATCGATTGTCTTCCAACGTTTAAAATTGTATTCCTGCATTTCTTTTAAGCTTTTCGTAACAGCATCCACAGTCCTATCTTTTTTTGACCTATGTCCATCATCATTTTCACCTGTTAAAATTTAAATTGACCAAAAATAAATAGAAAAATAGAATTGTTAAAGTGCTTAAAATTCATCCTTTCACAGGTCAAGTTTAAAAGGGGTCAGACAAAATAATTTTTCTTTTTCAGTAGCTTATTTAACTTACTGTCAGGTCTACGGCGTCTGAGGCGGGACGGGACTGATGGAGCCTCTTGATGTGGCATCTGAGAAGAGCTGGGTGATGGTGTTGTGGGGATTGGCCTTGATGAAGACTGCATTACTGGTGTTGCTGGAGTAACTGCATCTGAGGAAAAAAAAAACATTTTCCTGTAACATAGCTAATTTAATGTCATGTTGTTGAAATAAGTACTGTATAAACAGTGTATAATTTGTTTATCTTAAAAAATGAAAAAAAACCCCCAAAATTTCTTACTTGTGGGCCTAAGTTGTCGGATTGATTGAGGTTGTGGAGCCAATGAAGCATCGGCAAGGCTACTTGCAGGCATCTGTGGTGAGGGACTGCTCGGAAAATCATCGTATTCATCCTCCCAGCCTAATAGAATAAAAGAATTAATTGGTAATAATAAAGAGTAAAAATTGACTACACACTGTGAAGAAATTGTTGCAAGAAATGGCAGTACAATTCAATAAAATACTGAGTATCTTATACTTGATACATGAAATACTTCTCTGCAAACTTTTAATGTGTCTTCCACATAACAAAGAAGGTGTAAAAAATCTTACCAAAAATCTTGCTTTTTTTTGGAGGCACTGGTGGCACCACATCGTCATTTTCATCTTCCTGCAACAGCGATACTGAAAGAAATAAATATGAGTAAACGGTGTAATTTTGTCTATAATAGGGAGTTTTCTATGCATGAGGTTAACCTACAGATGACGTCATTATTACGTTTGTTACGGGTTTACGCATGCTTAATACGATTTGTTTACAAAAGGGCGTGTTGCATGTTGGGTATTAGCGTTAAAGTTAAGGTTAACGTCGTGCATTGAAAACTCCCTATTAACGACTACTGACTTAACGCTGTTGTCTGTTGTTTGGGTTTATTTGATGCAGTGCTTGCTTACTTTATGCACTATGTTTTTGTCTTACCTTCTTCATCATCCACCAAACACCTTTTGCACGTCACCTTTGAGCCAAAGCCCTCTTCGTTTTGTTCCCCAAGACAAGGTGGTATTATATGTGTAGGTTTTCCACAGACCTTGCACTTGTGGCTACCACACTCTTCTTTACACACGACACATATTGGAGTTCCTATAATACAACGAAGACAACCCCAAAATGTTTATCAAATTATGAGTTTATAGATTCTGGGGTAAGTTAAGTTACACATATTTAATCCGTTATATTCGACAAATGGTTGTACTATTCTAAATATCAATCAAATTTAATGTGGTCTTAAACAAAATTTCATGAGTTGAAGTAATAATATTGGCAACGCCCAAGCACAGTATTGCAAAAAAGGCACAGCAATCAGTAGCCGTTTGTTTGCTGCTACAGCCTACAATAGTTACAAATAATTAAGTGGCCTAAATAAAAATACACTGCTTGCATAGTGCAAAAACAGATTTAGCCTTATTTATAACAAATAATTATTACCTTCAAGAAGTAATCTATTGGCAGTTTTGTTGGTGCTGGTGTTGTTGCTGCTGATGCTGCTGTTGGTGCTGCTGTTGCGAGGCCTTGGCTGAGGCGGAGCATTTGATGACTGGCCTAACAGTATGGCTGGCGGGTTTACACTTGGTTTTCCACCAAGAATCTCGTTCAGTGCATGGTAATGGGGGCAAGACGCTTTACTGGGATCGTCGGATATTGTAGTACCCTTTCCAGTCCCCCGAATGTAGACGTCCCGAACAGCTTTAAATTCAGCTCGTAAGTTTTTCAACTTGGTCACGAGAGCGGCGGTTGTGATCCCGGTGTGACCAAGATCACGCATTCGTACAGCCATTTGCTCA